GAGTTATGCAAGCCCCTTCGCCACGACAAGGCAGTAATCCATAAATGTTAACTGTTAACTTATCCAAGTCCGGTTGGTGGGCACAGTTAAAAAACTGTAATTATATACTAAGGTAAAAGGCATCAGGTCCCTAGCTTAAGTCAATAATTGATCAATAAGAATAAAGCTTAAGTTCCAACTTTGATCAGACCCACTTCAAGTCAGAGTGCTGAGTTAGGCACTTAAAACTATTGAAACATAGCTTGAAGGAAATCTGATTGTGCTTTTTCCAGCTTAATATATTTAAGAATGAACCAGACAGATGTACAGCAGTTGGACTAGAAATTTGATGTACTGTAGCTCATGAATTTCTTCAAACTTAATAAACATTTCATTCTGGCTCAGACCATGAACCTTTGCCCAGAAGGCCCTTCCCTTTTCTAACTAGATAACTGATCTATACAGCCCCATTTATGTGCCAGTTTGTTTCATTCAAAAGCCTTTAGCTTTAGTGTCAGCCTTGTAGATGCTTTAAGTTTGTTAACTTTTATCTGCAGAATAGGTAGAATGAAGTCCAGCTGCCATATCTAACACAAGGTAATTGTCTGCTTTTGCATCTTAGGGGGAGCATCTAAACTGATGAATTGATTATTAGCATAGACAAAGGGTAACAAAATTCTTCTGGCGATGAATATCTATAAAAATATCTTAGTAGCAGTACCATAGGCTGTCACTCTTTAGATGATTATTGATTACCAAGAAATTGACCACATTAAGATTACATAAAACAAGAAAATAATCTAAAACATTTCTTGACTCCCCTTCCCGGTAAGTAAACTCTCCAGGAATGTCAACTTAAAGTGCATCATCAAGGATAAAACTGCCCATTAGTCTTTGAGGCTAAATATTAGTCAGCAAAGTTACATACCCTAACTTTGGAAGTCTGAGTCTGTAACAAGGAAGAATTTCTAAGATAGTTTAAGTAACAACACAACAAATGAAACATAAAAATAAGTAAGAAAAATAAAAACAGATAAAACAGGAATAGAGTAATTACTTTTTATATAAATTTGTATAGAAATATCTGTTGGTTTTAGTTTTACTACAACATTTTCTGGCAAACTAGATATAAATTAATATGCTCTTTTGGGAGAGATCAGATTTTTAAAAAAACAGCAAATCTCTACTGGGTTAATACATTCTGTTAGGCATGTTTATTTAATGACAATAAAGGAATATAATTCATATGAGTGAAAAAGCATAGAACAAAAAGCTATTCATAGACTTTGAACATGCCGATTACCTTTGAATAGATATATTTTCTTCCAATTCAAGATGAGGCCTTTGTTTATCATAATCCATATTGACTGTTCAGATCTATCATATTTCATGTCTAATTTTATTTAAATTGGACCAAAATTGATTTTTAAGAATCAGTCTTGCATTTTTCTATGAAGATACTTATATTTTTAAAGTGTTGCTAAGCTGCTAAGTGATTTTTTTTAATCTGGTTCTGCCATCCATGAGGATTCATATCATCATATCTGCATGCTTAAAGCAAGGTTTGACAACTGCAACTTAACATTGCTTATCACATAGAACTGCCATAGTGCTATAGCATTGTCTTATTTCTGAAATGTCAGTCAAAAATTAATAACTTTGCTGCAGGGTGGTGGTCATTATCCAACCATTAAATAGTCCACATTCAGCTTCAGTCTAATTTTATTCCATCTTCTGTCTCATTTCAGAAGGTTTTTGGAAGTAATCACGTCTGGCACAACCCCGGTTGGTTTGTGTGGAGCAAGAGAAAGAGACTTAAAAGGAATGTCAGCAAAGGCTCTGTCTTAGCTTTTAAATTATATATACCAATCTGTTTTACACTGGTGGTTTTATAGACATATGTGTATGTATGTGTGTGTCATAAGTTTACATATGACACAAATACTCTCAAGAAAGCTTCTAGTGTAAATGCAAATTAAAACAGCTTTTAACACAACAGCATAGCATCTTTCATGAGAAAGTAACATAGAACAGTTTTGTAGTGAAGGTGATTAATGGACCCCAATTGTCAAAAGTTCCATATTTATTGCAATTAAGCCATTCCCCTCTTTGTGTCTTAATTCATCCACAGATATGCAGAGTAGTTATATGTAGTTACTTGCAAGTTAATGTAGCCTTACAAAAAAAGTAGGTTTAGCTCATCTAGTTGTCTTTCCTGTGTGATTTATCCAGGGAGAATGACATAAATCCTGCAATAGAGATTCCATTTTAACTGTTTGTTCCATTAGGGTGGGTCCTTCCATAGTTTCTTTCTCTGGCCATTGAGAAACTGCAAGCTCCTGCCCCTCTTGTATGCTTGTTTTCTAAGCAGTATTTCATCTCCTCTTTTCCCAAGGTCACACATGCATTCCATTATAGGAGGTGATTGAAGTTGTGTAGAGATTGATGGAGATGTGATGGGATGGGTTACCCAAAGAGTATTTTAAAAGAATTTGGAAATTCCTGGTATCCGGCTGCTGTTGTTGAATGCCAAGTCTGCCTAAAGAAGGGGTGTCAAACTGCCGGCCTGCGGGCCAGACATGTCACGAGGAAACCGCACCCACCCCATTGCCAGCAATGGGGGAAAAGTTCCGATATGTCACGTGATGCCATGTGATGTCGCAAGGTTGACATGTCTGGCCTAAAGTAAAGGTTGCCTCATCTTACACTATCAAAATGTGGTTGGAAGCAGGGGCATTTCCCCTCTTGGGATATGCTCAATTAAGTTTTTCATAGCCACAAACTAAGGGGAAGGAAAGTGGAATGGCATTGTCATTTGGGAGATTAAAGATCATTGTCCCATAGACAACTGGATGTAAGGCCTTACTAGTAAAGTTGGTCTCTAAGGTTGGAATGCTGCTGTTGTATTGTCTTTTGTGTGACAGAACAGCTTCCCTTCTTGTGCTACTGAGTCTCATTGGGAGGTTGGTGGTACAATTCCTGAGGCTACTTGTCTTTGAGGACTTCAACATCTGAGGAGTTCTCTGGGAAAGGAATAAGATGTGGTTCAGGAGTTTGACACATTGTAGAGGCTATCCTCTAGATCTGTTATTTGGCTCTACACACTCTGGGGGAGTGATGGGCAGGAAGGTTATTTAAAGAATTTTTGTGAGAAATTTTCTATAATAGAGATTGAGCTCTAAGTCCTTCAAGTAAGAAATTCACAAGACTTGATACTCTCTCCACTCCTATTCAAATGCACATGAAATCTCTGAGTTGGATAATCTGTCAACGTGCGGTTAGGTTTTTTATAACTGTACATCTTGACACATGGCCAAATAAGTGATGGTGTTGTTAAAGGAAAAGTCTTCATCGTGGTTCAGTCCAAGTTGGGAATAAACAACATGACGACTGCTTTAGAAAGAAGGTTGCAGTTTATTGAAGAGGAGAGCCAGACAGGAAGATGGCTCTGGAAGAAAAGAGAAAAAGCACATGTAGTAGGGAGTGGTGGGTTTTTATACCTTTTTGAGCCTTTTGTTTGGAGTTGTTCCTGTGGCATGAACTTTGACCTGAGTCTGAGTGTGCTTTTCTGGTATTCTGATAGTGGTGGGTTAATCCTATAATGTCCCAAAGGTCATATCCTGCTTCCCTGTGGCTGATGACTCTTAGATTTTTGGTGTGAGGGATTGTTGATTCTAGGGATCTTTCTTCCTAATCCCAGTTTCCTGACTCCAGTCTTTCTGACAAGATTATCACATCTGCATTTCTGCAGACCTGGTTTCTGTTTGGGGCAGAGACTGGGGGGGGGGGAGTTGGTTTCTGCCTTTAAAATCCTTTGGGGAAATATAATATTCTGCCTTTTTAATATTTCCCAAAATATTTCTTTCTCTGGGGGGGGCTGACTTCCCACAGTGTCAAAGTGCTGCCAGGTACCTGGTGGCTGACAGGTTCTGGAATGGGAGGAACAGGTTGAGACCTAATCCCAGCAAGATGGAGTGATTTTGGATTCAAAGGCCTACCTATTCTAACGAGGTTTCATGGTTGATTCACAATGAGCTAGCATTAATCAATATGCAATTGGTTTGCAACGTAGGGTCTCTGTGCCTCACAGCTCTTGGTTTAGAAGCAGCTGGTGACTGTAACCAAGAAGATTTTTGCCCAGTTCCAGCATTTTTTTTATATTTTTAAAAATTAACTATATACAAAAATTGAAGAGGAAAAGAATATACAATTATAAAAGAAGAAAAAAGATAAAAAAGAAGTTTATCAATATATTGCAATTATGGTTTATTACAGTCATCCCTGTGATCTATATTACTATAATCACTCCTGCAAACCACTGAATACTTGGGACCATATGTTTATCTTTTTGATGCTGAACAGTAAGCATTTTGCCCAAACGTGCTTTTCAAAAGGCAACTGCACTTACTTTGTTTTTTTTTTCCCTTGAAAATGTTTTGCTTCTCATTCAAGAAATAGATGTTGAAAGCTGTTGCAGGTAAGGAAGACTATAACCATTATTTCCATTCTAGCAACTATGTTGTATAGCTGTCACCAACAAGCATATTATTGTTAAAAAGCATCTTCTGTTGAGGATAATAGAGTTGTGTTTCATATTGGCCATAATATAATTTGCATAGATCGTCTCAACAAAGCTCTCAGACAGACACTCAAGAATCTGGAAGATTTGATCAAGACTGCCAGTGTGCCAGCATGTCCCACACCCTAATTAATTTTATTCATTTTTTTGTTTTTACTTTTATTGTTTCCTGTGCCTCCAGAATGAATCATTGCTGCTATAGTTTTTATATCTGAATTTAGACCTCTGTACAAGTAGTCCTTGTTCAGTGACTACTTATTTAGTGGCCATTCGCAGTTACAACAGTGATGAAAAAGTAATTGTATGGCCAATGCTCACATTTTTGAACTTTGCAGGTGTGTAAAAGGAAAAGTTAAAGTAAAACCAGCTGCCTTTTGTTTAGTGGCCTGGTTAATAATTACCTACCAGATATGAATAACAAATTTATTTTTCTTTTATAACTTCCCTTTTTATTGTCAGCTCAAAGAAAGCAGCTAAGAACTTCTTCCTGATTCTGCAGTAGAACGATTTAAAGAGGATCACTTCTGAGAGATTTTCTTTCCATTTGAGAATCCTTCTTTCTGGAATAAGAAAAGATGGCAGGTGTGAGCTCATGTATGAAATACTCTATGTTTGTCTTCAACTTTTTATTTTGGGTAAGTCTGAGTTGAAAAATATATATACCAAAATGAACAATGAAATATCGGTTGCCTTAAAATATGATATTTTATGAGGAGTTGGAGTCACCTGTTCCAATAGCAGTACTGGACAAGAATGAAGATAAATCCTTCGTTATTTGTAGGACTGGACAAAAAGTAGTAAGACTTAAGTTTGAAAACAGACTTGTCTGGGACAAATGGAGAAAAGCATTAAATATAAATACTTTTCTGGATAAGTGTGTAAACATTGGAAATTGACTACCATTTGAAATTTTGTAGCAAAATACAAATATATAGATTATCTGCCAACATATTTATCAAATTTTAAAGCTTTGTTTCCTAATGTAGTCGTGATTGTTTTCAAATTGGGTGTGTGATCATATACTGAATTTCAAGAGATTACTGGGATAGTTGCACATTGCTTACTTTCCTACTATTCCTGAACCATTCCTGTTTCTGTCATTTATTACTCAGTGTCCACTCCAAAAACAGGCTGACATTCCACCTTGTAGCCTTTAAACAATGAATTACAAAGTGAGAAAAAGTAGAGATTTTTTTTATTGAAAATTTTTAAGTTTTACAAAAAGAAATTCCCTTCCCCAAACCCTCCCAACCCTCCCCTCCCCTCCCCTGACCTTCCCAGAGCTGAATACAGGCTTAATTAAAAAAAAAATTTTTTAAAAAAAATCTTAAAACACATGTAAACCATAAGCAAATCTAAGCACATTAATTAAACAACTTATAAAATAGTTAACAGCAATATATAAAAAGAGTACAAGAAGAAAGAAAAAAAGAAACAGAAAAGAAAAATTCAAATAAAAAAATAAAAATAAAAAAGTTAAAAAAAATATCTATGAAATATCTTAAAAGTTTAAATATAAATTATTCAAAAACTAAATAATATTTTTTTATATCCAACTTATATTGTATGAAATCTATCCATTTTTTCCATACCAAGAGGTATTTCTCTTGCGATTGATCTTTCAAAAAAGCTGATCATTCATCCTCCAAGATCTCCTCTCCAAAAAGTGGAGATTTTTTAATGAAAAAGTATTTGGTGTGAATAATTAAATCTATTCAAACGCTTGGCAGAGAATTTGTGTTTAAGATAGGTACTGTTCCGGAACCCCTGTCTGCAATAACCTTTTTTCAGAATAAATTTGCCAGTGTTCTCTGTTCAGTCTGGCTCGGTGATGTACTTCCATGATTTATCACTTTCCAAACATATTTTGGTTTTATTCCTATGATATTGTTTCAGCTATGTATTTTCAGATAAATCTGTGGCATAAAGTGACCCTTACTGTCAAAACTTGATTTTTGAGTCAACCATTTTGTTTTATATCCAGTACCATGCCAAGTGATATAATGCTGTCTTTTGAAGGGACAAAGTCAAATAACGTATCTGGGATTGGGTGGAGGAGTAAATGGTGAAATGACTACTTTCAGTCTTGGCTTAAGACATGTCACTGCTTAGCACCCCATAATTCTCTCTCTTTGTTTCTCTCATTTTCTTCCCTTCATACACAAACACACATTTAGCCCTATCAAGTCTGAGAATACTTTGAGGGTCCTAAAGGTAGTTTAATGCCAGGAATGACTTGTGGTTATGGCCTGCCTCCCATTCTATAAGAGAATTTTAGGATGTGAGATGAGGTAAAAGAAAGAATGGATGAAAAAATTGTTGGTAACTTGAAGGAAGAATGTGAGATGATGGTTAGCAGATTTTGAGTGTTTTATCAATGTGGTTATGTGTGGGCAGTGGGGGAGAGAAAGTGAGACCTTGAGATGTGAGTCTGAAAAAAATATAATTTTAAAGGAATGGTTTTGTTTTTTAGAGATGAGGTCTCATATTTAACTTGCATTCAATTTCTTAGATACATTTTTGGTTTGATAAACTGATATTTTAGGATTATTCACTTGCATTTTACAAACATTTTATGATTAGCTATCTCTGTATGGTAGCAATGATACTTCCTCAAAATCTGAAATATCCCACTGATACTCAGAGATCATATTCCATTCATAGATTATTAGTAAAATTACATCTATATGTATAAGCCCATGTCTAACAATTCATCTTTGAGAGGATGGGAAAAATTATTGTATCCATCCAAATTTACTTGATCAGGTTCCAAGAAAACCTGAAATCCATTGTGATTTATTCAGAAGCATTAATGATCAGAGAAATTAGTTCTTACCTTCCCCTCCTAATCTCTTGTGACCTCTTACATAAGTCATATCCGACCCATCGTGACCCCATGGACAACATTCCTCCAGGTCTTCCTGTCCTCTACCATCTTCTGGAGTCCATTTAAATTCACACCTACTGCTTCAGTGACTCCATCCAGCCATCTCATTCTCTGTCGTCCCCTTCTTCTATTGCCCTCAATCTTTCCCAGCATTAGGCCCTTCTCCAGTGAGTCCTTCCTTCTCATTAGGTGGCCAAAGTATTTGAGTTTCAACTTCAGGATCTGGCCTTCTAAAGAGCAGTCGGGGTTGATCTCTTCTAGGACTGACCGGTTTGAACGCCTTGCAGTCCAAGGGACTCGCAGGAGTCTTCTCCAGCACCATAGTTCAAAGGCCTCAATTCTTTGGCGCTCAGCCTTTCTTATGGTCCAACTTTCACAGCCATACATTGCAACTGGGAAAACCATGGCCTGGACTATATGCACTTTTGTTGGCAATATATATATATATATATACTTAAAACCAAATAAATAAATGTGAGCACCAGGGAATGCTATAAAATTTTAATAAAAACACCTAGCTTTCATCGGCAGCTGCTGACATCATCAGGGCTTAAAATGCCGGTCAGTAGGAGAGTCCCTTTTATAGGTTGACTAGGGTCTGCACCCGGCTCTTAAATCTCGTCACCAGGCCTGATGAAATAAACTGTGTTCCGGTTGCCAGTTTCTCGCTAGCAGTTATTCTTTTCTTGCATTTTCTCTCTATGTAAGTGATGTCAAGTGTTTTCTCTTCGCTTAATTTGGGATTGGGTGGGGCATCTCCCCCCCTTTTTTGTTTTATCGCATCTCCCACTTTGTTCAATTGCGTGTTTCCATCATCTCCTCCCCTGCCCCATCCAGATTGTTCAGACGTAATATGCTGTCCTCTTTCTTCTTTGCAACTCCCACCCCTACAACCGTAGTCTCTGTGAGTGCTACCCTGCCCGGTTTTCACCACTCCCCCCTTATCCTTGATGTCTTTTATTTGTGTATTGTCGTCCCGGGGGTTCTTTCGTATTGTCTGTTGGTATGGTCGGGCCGGCATTACAAGGTGGGGTGGACGGACTATCTCTGCCAAACGCGTTGGTGAGGCTATTTCCCCCCTTCTTGAGCATGATCGGGTGGTTGTTGCTCCAAGTTGTCTCCTCCCATTGTCTCCGATCCTCACATGTTCCATCCCAGCTCCGGTTAAATCACTTCGGGTATTCTCTGTGCAGCAATCAGGAGCTCTAACTCTCGTTGTTCTCCCTCCTCCATTCCTGGTGCTCCCTGCCCGTGCGTCGTCGCACTTCCTGTTGACGCGCCCAGGCCGGTGCTACCAAGTGAGGTGATCGAGTTGTCACCTTCGGACAGATTGGGGAGGTCACTCTCTCCCCTCCCAAGCATGGCGGGGGGTTTAAAATTTCAAGCGGAGGTGTCTGTCGGTTCGATCCGAGTGTTGGTCCCCCATAAGATGATGTCCATCCCTCCGGGTGCCCCAGGTGGTGTGTACAGGTTCCTAACATGCGGATTGCCCCCTTACATCCCCGACGTTCCCTCGCCTTTCCGAGGGCGCTTGTCCACTCTGGGGGGAGGAGAGTCTCTCAATTGCTGTTCGCACTTCGCCCAGACGCTTACAAGTTGCTGATGGTGAGGGGAGGAGGAAGCCTTCTCTGTAGCCCTCTCTGCTGATACATTCGATGTTTTTTCGGACCATCTCTAGCGGGATGGGGGATTATCCATGCTCCAAGCTCTTAATGTTAGATGAGCCGGGCAAAGATCGATATGCCGATTGATTGAGTCCTTATTAGACAACCATGCCTCCTTGAGCAGATGGCCTCCTTTCGTATTGTCACTGGCCAGAACGCGTACTTTTTCAAAATCGAATCGATGGCCGGATTCTGCCATATGTGCCCAAATCTGAGAATATTGTTCGCCCCTTTTCACTGCTAATTTGTGTTCATGGACCCTAGTTCTTATCCTCTTAGAGGTCTCCCCAACATAGTTACTACAGCACTCCCTGCAGTCAATTCTGTACACGACTGCCGATTTCTCCATGTTGGGGAGTGGGTCTTTGGGGCGCATGATTGCGGCACATAGTGTCTGGTTGGGTCTGTGGGCTACCTTTACATTGTGTGGTGCTAGTAATCTAGCAGTTTCCTCAGAGACATTGCAGATATAGGGGAGGATAACAAGCGTCGTCTGTGGTGTTGGTTCATCTATACGTGGATTCCTTCGAGGTTCAGGTGGTATACTGTGGCGTCTAATGAACCTTGTCAGATATCCATTGCGCTTGCATATATGAAAGAGATGGTTTCTTTCTTCTATTTTTGCCCTGATTGTATTACAGTGGGAATCCACCCATTTAAACAGGGTTCTAATACAACTAACTTTATGAGCCACTGGATGGTTGCTCCTATAATGGAGGATTCTATCCGTGCATGTTGGTTTTCGGTATACCCTAGTATCTAGGGTTCCATCCGGCTGGCTACCAGTACTTCCAAAAATGCCAGCGAACTCTGGTTTTCCTCCTCCATCGTGAACTGGATGTCTGGGTATACCGAATTCAGTATGCCCATAAAGTTAGTCTTTTGATGCCTCTTGATGACAGTAAATGTGTCATCTACATAGCGGGCCCAAAATTTAGGTTGGTATTGGGCCATCGCTATGTGTTCCAACCGTTGGAGTACCACTTCTGCAATTACACTGGAGATCGGAGACCCCATAGGTGTTCCTTTAGTTTGTTCGTATATGGTACCCTGAAAAGTGAAATACGTTTTCAGGTTTACCTCCACTAATTTTATCAGGTCTTCAGTTCGAAGGGAGTCCTGCTGTTGTTCCGAACTCTTTTGGTTCAGGCGGTCTTTTAATACCGTAACCGCAAGATCCTGTGGGATGGAGGTGAAGAGTGAAATGATGTCAAACACAGTATTGAGATAAAAAAACAAGCAAAAAAAGAATTCACAGGGTTTTCCATAGGGTGTGTTAAACAAGATGGCAACATTATCTTTTTATGTGTGTCGCATGTCATAGCAATTTTTTCAAAACAAAATTATATTTTAAGTGAGAAATGGGCATTTTGTCCAAGACAGTACTTGGGAAATAAGATTTCCTTTATTAATAGAATCAATTTGTATATGGTGTTTGGGACTGTTAATGTATATTAAGATGGGATTAAATAAATAATGAAAAAAAGTGTTTCAGGCATCTGCATTAAGTAGTGGCTTCATTAGTTATTGATTTTCCCCCTTTAGATAATTGGATGTATTATTCTGGGAGTCTCTATATGGATGCATGTCAGCAAAGATATTCAAAAGGTAAATATGCGTTTATCAGTAATAATTGTAGGTGTCAACACATATTACAGCTGCATCTTCCTGGCAAGTCACAGAAAAATAAAGTGGATAAAAATGAAATAAATTCTATAGCAGTCCCCCCTACTCTGCTTTGGAAGTTGAGATCAATTTCAGGTGATAAATAATTACTTTACATAAAAAAGAAACTTTAATGTAAAAATTATTTTTCCTATTTTAAGTAGCCATATTTAAAATATACAGTGGTAAGGAGGAAAAAATATAGCTTCTCAAGAAAACGATTTTAAAAAACATCTAAAGGGAAAATTATAAAAAAATAAATATAAAAATGTAATACTCTGAACAGAGTGAAATATATAACTAGTCTTTTACTGAAGTCACATAGGCTACACGTTTGCAGAGGGAAAAATAAATATCAGAAACAATAAAGATTTCAATATCACACATAAAAATAAATCAAACATCTAATTGCTCATTCCTGGCTAAATATTTACCTCTGTCTTGGGGACAATGGATTATTTCAGCAAGTGATTACTATATGTCCCCCCTGGATTTTTCCAGATTCTTGTTATTACAGCCTTAAATCAAAGGCAAAGTGCCATTTAGTTCTTTTTGTTTCTCTGATGCCCAGATTTCTGGCTTGGGTTTTAAGAAGCCAAAAGCATTTTCTCTACAAAAAGGCTTAGGTAAGGATTTTACCTTAGAAAGAGTATCTCCTCTTAGGAACTTAGATATACCTTTGTTTATAGCTATTCTGTTAAAACAGGTTGGCCTCACAATAACTTCATTGAGAAATGAAAGAGATTTCCTTGTTTTAATTTTCAAAATGTAAACTTTTTTACATTTAGAATTGAGAATTAGCAAAATTTTATCCTGAACAATCCCAAGCAGTGACAATTCTCCGAGAACAGCGGTTCTCAACCTGTGGGTCGGGACCCCATTTGGGGTCGAATGACCATTTCACGGGGGTCGCCAAACAACACAGTCCGCCATTTTTCCCCCTTTTTCTTAGCTGTGCTACTCCCTTTTATTCTATTGGCTTTTGAAAGCCAATAGAATAGACTCTCTTGAATAGAGTCTAATTCTATTGGCTTTCAAAAGCCAATAGGAATTGTCCAGGGTGTCTCTGCCCTGCTGAGCCCGCCAAAAGTCCCATTCTGCAAACGGTGCTGCAAGTTGTCTGCAGCGAAGGCGAGCTTTCTGGAAGTTTCCACCCCTCCCTGCTGAGCAACTACTAAAAATGTAAGTAAAAGAGGGCCAGGGGTGGGAGGTGGGAGGCCGGCGGGTGCAGGGAGGGTTGCTGGCGCGCGTGGGGCCCGGCGGATTCCTTACCTCCCTTGGGCTGGGCCAGCTGGTGGCCCAGCCGGTGGTCGGCCTGCTCTGTCTCTACCACTTGCCAGCTACGCCTCGGCCGGTGCAGGGGGCAGCACCACACATGCGCGGCGCTCCCGGGCAGGGAAAGTCCTCGACCTACGACCAGTTGATAGTCCTCGACTTACGACCGGTTATTTAGTCCTCGACCTATGACCGGTTGGGGGTCGCGGCATTAAAAAGGTTGAGAACCACTGTCCTAGAATTTATGGTGTGAACCTTATCTCTCCTGCCTCCAGTTTACTCCTAGATTTTATTTCCAGTTAAGAAAGTATATAGGTTGCCATTTTAATTTAAAGTTTTAAATGTAAAAATAGGGACTTGCATTCTGTTGAATGAAGGCATGAAAAGTGTCTTTGAAACATTTTATTCATGTGATCAGGAACAAGATACAAATAATTACTATTTAAAATCTTTTTGTGAAACAGCTTACAATATTGGTGTCAGCTATACAAATTAATTTTAATCCAAATTCAATGAAGGTATGGGCAACTGTTGCAACTCTATACCAACTATATACTGGTATAGAATTTCCTGATTTGTTTTACCAGCCAATTACTGCTATGCCTGACTTTGTTTTAAGGATCAAATAAATTAATAATCTGCCACCTATTTTTGCCCTGGGCATAAGAGCATTCATCAACAAAAGCTTGTTAGACTGCTGCCCTTAATATGGTGAGTTTATGTGTTTGCCATGTGACATAATTCAATAGCAACCAGAAAACTGTGCTGGACCAACAAATGACTTATCCACAAGAGATAATTGGAAACATGACTTTTTATGTGAGTTCCCTTCCCAGGAATTTTTAATCTTCTAATGACCACATAGTTAGATTTTCTCCATCATGATGTATTTCCAATGCTCTTTCAGATGATTAGGAGTCAAAAACAGTACATAATGGCACATAATCAATCAATCAATCCTAGGAATACTTGTGTACACTTTTAATCTGATTGAGCAAAATGTGTTATGGTTCACTCAAGCTGTTAACAGCCACTGGTTTGATTTTTATTTTATTTTTTTACTTTTACTGTTGATTTGATTTTGTTTTCCTTAGTTATTTGTATATATAGATTTATTTTTATTAGCTTTTCATTATAATATATGAGTTTATTTGTCATCCAGGAAATAAAATGACACTGAAAATGCAGGATATGAGTAATACATAAATATTCATCATTCTGGTCTAATCTAGGAATTTATAATCTGCTGAATTGTCTAAAAACCGGGCAATCCCACTTCTGCTTGTCCTGTTCCACTTCATCTCGCCTGTACCTAAGCAATCCATTGCCTCCTCGCGAGTTCCAGCACTAGAGCAATATCCTTGGCTGCTGAACAATCAGAATGAAATGCCATGACTGAGGGTATTGCCTTAGGGCAATTTAGTTTGCTGATAATATGACTATGTCTATGAATAATAGGAAGCTGTTCATTTGCTCCTAGTTTCCTTTTTAGATGACCTTTAGCTTCTTTAACTATTTCACTGATTGTATCTGAAACCTTGTATTTCTTTTTTTACAGGAATTCAAAATAGACTCAAGCATGCTTTCTGCTGTTAATCTTCTCATTGCTGTGGGCTCAGTCATTATGGTGCTTGGGTTTCTAGGTTGCTGTGGTGCCATGAAGGAGAGCCAGTGCATGCTCCTCCTGGTAGAGTTTCAATTTCTGTGACATTTTTTTGCCAATATTTTCAGAGCAATACCCTGCATGTATTTATCTTGTCAGACAATAAGTGATCTTTAATGCATGTTTTAGGTAGGATTTATGGACATTTCTCAAGCACTAGAGTGTGCCTTGCACTCCCAATGACAAGAGTCTAACTACACTGTGATGTATTCCTTACCATTTTCTGTGTGGAAAGATAAGAGTTTAAGGAGATTTTGGAAAAACGTGAATTACAAATGAAAGATAAAAATGATACTTGGTTTCCTTCCTAAGCCAAAGTCCATAAATATAGGTGGTCCTCAACTTACAACAGTTAGTTTAGTGATCATTCAAAGATATAATGGCACTGACTTATGGCCATTTTTCACACTTACGACCGTTGTATGGTCATGTGATCAGATTTCGGGTGCTTGGCAATTGGTTCATATTTATGACGGTTGCAGTATTCTGGGGTCACGTGAACAGCTTTTGCGACCTTCTAACAAGCAAAGTCAATGGGGAAGCCAGATTCACTTAACAACCATGTTACTAACTGCAGTAATTCACTTAACAACTGTAGCTAGAAAGGTTGCAAAATGGTGCAAAACTTAACAAATATCTCACTCAACAACATAAATTTTGGGCTCAATTTTTGGTTGTAAATCGAGGACTACCTGCATTGTTACGTATCTGCAGACTAGGTAGAAACTCTAATACAGGCTAATGTGAACTTTGATTACAGATTGCGTAGACTACATTCATTATGAATGCCTATTTTTGAAGAAGGCAAGAAAGGAACCTGAATCAAGATTTCAGAATGAAAATAACCGTTTTTCTCCAATGCAGTCATTTTTGGGATATTCTGATTCTTAATTCAATTCAGTATTCACAAAAAATAAAAAGTGTTGGCTTCAGAATGTGGATTCTGCTACATCATAATACTATTTCAGTAATTCCTCAAAAATGCCATGTTCCTCAGAGGTAACATAGAGATAAAGGACCTGTGAAGGATGCCAGATTGTTTCCCTGGTTCTCCTTAAATTGCTTTTGAGTTGAACTGTGGCAATCTTGGCACTCTGTGTTTTTCTCACTTGGGGAAAGTAGGAAACTGAAAGACATGGGCTTGCAACCTGGAATACTTACAGGCTGGCATTGTTGATCTCAGTTTTCCCAGTTCTTCAAGAAGGACATAGGACAACTGAGACAGAGCTACATTTGCATGCAATCTATAAGGGTAACTTTGTTTAGTATCTAACTGCAGTCACTAACTTCCAGATAACTAAAAATAAGCCTACAACATACGCAGTCTATGTAATCTGCTAAAGTGGGACTTTTGCATGCACAGAAATTAAGGTCAGAGCTACTGACTGTATTCTTGATTTCCTTACCACATATCTATTTAATGTTGTTCATTATAGAATTTATATGCCACCTTTGTGTTTATTCCAACATTCCAAGTGATTAGAAAAGTACAAAATATGAAGTATTAAACAAAAGCTATACAATTACACAGTGCTTTTTTTGTAAAAAAAAAAAAAAAAAGGGTGACGGAACTCACACACGTCATACAACCCGCCTTGCCTACCCTACAAGGTTCCATCCAAAAAAGGTGCCGGAACTCTGTTCTGGGCATTCAATGAGAAAAAAAAGCCCTGCAATTACAATTAAAAGCAATCATTAAAATATTTAATAAGTAGAAGTCTGCCAAAGGAGACATGCCTTTACCACCAGTCAGTCTCGGGCAGCTTCTGAAGTAACTGGGCAGTTTGTATACAATCTCAGAGTTAATTAGAAGTTGTACCCTTGCACCAGACAGAAGCTTGCCCTGCCTCCATGATTCCATACATTTCGTCACCTGGACAGGTCTAATCAGTATTAGAAAGCAAGTTCAGACTCAATGGATGTATTTATTTTGATGGATGTATTGTGATAAAGGTAGGTTTGTAGATACCAAAACAGAAGAACTTTACAAAACTCTTTAAACAGTTTTAAGTAGCTAAGTAAAATTAAGATCCTTTCTTCCCCTCTCCTCTTCTGATATTCCTTTCTACTGCAACATTGGTTTTTATGAATAATTTTCATACTATCTTGTAAAAAACAAATTTGACTTTTATAAGGCTCCATTATTTTAATCCAACAATGTCCATTATTCTTGTTGAATAGTGATCCCTCTATAATTATTTATGCCTAGACTAATCAGGAATGACATTTAAACTGCCTCCGTTATACCTGTTGAAATTAATGGATCTTTATTTTTTCAGAACTTTCTTAAGAAACGCTTAAGGTTTTAACCTAAGTATGACAAACTGTAGGTTAGGGTTTGGGTTAAGTGTTGTAACATGTATTAAACTATACATGGTCTACTTTCATTATTCAGAAACACTATAATTACATATAGGCAAGGACATTTCATTGAAAGGATACAATTGATTAGTCTAATGCAGGGGTGTCAAACTGCCGGCCTGAAGGCTGGATGCCCGTTGCTGGCAATGGGAAAAAAGTCACGATACGTCGCGACACATCACACGATGTTGCGAGTTTGACACCCGTGGTCTAATGAATGGAAAGCAATATGGCATCCCATGAACCCTACCTTGTAAAAATTATTGTCTAGAGAAAATGCAGCTTTGTTTCAGAATTATGTGCAATTATCATACATACAGAAAGTTAATTTCAGTTTTCCTGAATACATAAAAAATATCTCTTATATACATTTTGAACATTAAAGAGGAAAACTTATGTTGCTTTGCCTATACTCACATTCTGATCTCAAAATCTATCAGTCTTTCCTAACAAATACCTTTTCAAGGGATTTTTTTTTTCATTTTGTAACATCTTATAAACCATTTTAGAACATTTACAAAAAGAAGCAGTATGTAAATACACCCTCCTGGAATGGAGATGATTATTTTTTATTTTTTCCCACCAGTTTTTCATTGGACTACTGATGATTCTGCTTCTTCAAATTGTAGCAGGCATTTTGGGAGCAGTATATAAATCTCAGGTATTTCATTCTTCAATCTTATTAAGTTATGTAGTAATTAAATTACACAGGCTGATTGTATTATCTATTCATTTGCAGATTGAAGGCGTTCTAAACCAGACTCTTGAGAAGGAAATTGGCATATTGCAAATTGCTTCAACAAATGATAAGGATATTCTGGAAGGTTTCCACAAACTTGAGATAAAGGCAAATTAAGTTTATTAATATTTATTATTATTTTTACTCCACTTGTTCCAACATGTTAAAATCAAACTATGTTTGAAAAACATTGTCATCTCCTATTCCCTAATTTCACAATAGCAAATACAGATCAAGCTTTATTGAGTACAGATAATCTGTACCAAAATGCCTGAATCCCAGTAACTTTAATGAGCTGAGAAAATGATGCATGTATTTGGTATTCCAGGTGATTTTAGATAACTGTAATCTACTAGAGCCTGTTTATGACACTGCTAACTTGTCAAGAATTCTGTTTTGAAGCTGTAGATCAGTGTTTCTCAATCCTGGCAACTTTAAGACATGTGGACTTCAACTTCCAGAGTACTTCTAGAATAATTCCAGGAGCTGAAGTCCACATGTCTTAAAGTTGTCAAGATTTAGTAACAGTGCTGTAGATTGTTACTTGATGTTTAGCAGCCAGTGATATATACAGTATCTAACTATTGTAGAACACGTTTGACTGTTAATTTTTATTTTTACTTATCAGGAAAAAGAACAGCCATCTTAATTTGGTTTAAAGGAGCATTGACATAGGGATGTGGGAAAATGGGGCAAGTGAATATGCATGCATCATGATATCACATCACAAACTCATTACCTTTCATGCTAGCATCTTACATTGGGATACATGTATGGAAGAACAGGATTTAAAGCATGACTCTGGTGTGTATATGTAGTTAGTAGATGCCTAGGGATGCCAACAATCCTATAGAGTTAGGCTTTTATATTTAATCTCTTCTCTTTTCCAGTCTTCTGACCAAAGAGATATTGCCCACATATTCTCAAGCTGTTTTTTCTAATCTTACAGGATGTAAATTATAATGTAATATTTCTGTCTGTCTAACATTGCATTTCTAAACAACAAAACAATCTCAGTTTTCTGCAGAAGCAGCTATAAACTCATCAAATTTCCCTTTTTTATGTTAGTGAATGGCATATACCTCTTATATGACCCTTCTGAGAAGAATATTCAGCAAAGTTGGTGGAGAACTAAAAAGACTGCAGTATAACTTTGCTGCTTATGTGTCAGAAGAATTAGTTGGATGACAGGATGCTGAACAGACTTACTTAGAACACATCTTTTCTCTTTGCTTTTTGTATCTGTTAGAGCAAAAAGCATTGCCAGAAGTTCAACATGCGATGCAATTTCTTAAATATTTATCTGTACACTCTCAGTTGGTGATAGATTGTGGGCAGCAGAATATTGGTTTTCAAGATTGTTCTGTTCTGAACGTTGGTAAGGCATTGAGACAAGACAGGGACTCTATGCAGCTTCCTGCACCTGCTGTTCAATCACAGTCCAGGACATAACACCCCTCCCCTCTTATTTCAAACACATAGAACTTACTATTTTGCAATACTACAAAACTAACACATGTTCATTCTTTTGAGCGTGTTCTTATTTCTAAGGACACTTAAACCTGCCCACCTACTAACAGGAACTTCACATAGTCCTGCAAATACTTTGGTGGGCCTCTGGCCTGCTCTGATCTTGTTGGAGCGGTTGTAAGTGCCTGGTCTACAAGCTCGCCTGCCAGGCTCAGCAGACCGGGACTTTGATGCCCACTAGGTACAGGCGAACCCCCATTATGCTGACTGGCCGAGTCCTGTAAACCCAGATCAGAGTTCCTTGGTGGGGTGGAATTCCCCAGGTCCATGACAGGCCCCTCTTGGGAGCAAGACCAGCAGATGGAGTGGCCTGAACAGCCGGTTTGTGCAATTTTCCATGAACCCAGTGCCAGGAGCCGCCTCATTGGCAAAACCCCTATGTGCAGAGTGCAAACCCCCACTTCTGCAGGAAGACTGAGATCCATGATCATGATTGTGGTCCTCCTTCCCACCGAGAGCAGAGTCAGGAGTGGAAGGGTGACTGGGTAGTCTCCAGCATAGCTGGTCAATGTGCTGACGCAACACACGACCATCGTCCAAGGCCACTTTGTATGACAGCGGCCCAGTGACTTTGCAGACCACTGCTGCCACCCAGAGATGTCCAAGTCCCTACTTCCTTGCCCAAACCAGATCGTCCACCTGTAGTCTCCTAGGTGCCCGCAGCTGTGACATCTGCGAAGCCACCTGGTCTGGGTGCAATCTGTCCAGTTTGGTAATGAGACGGCGACCCCAGCGGAGTTCAGCTAGGCTTTTCCCAGTAGCTGTACAAGGTGTGGTGTGTTGGCAAAGAAGAAAGACAGCTATCCTGTGATGCCAGCTCCTGTGAGTGAGCCTCTTCAGGGCATCTTTGGTTGTGCACACCATGCGCTCAGTTTGGCCATTGGAAGCTGGATGGAATGGTGCCGAAGTAGCATGACGGATCATGTTGGCCTGTAGGAAAGCCTGGAACTCAGAAGAAGTGAATTGAGGGCCGTTGTCGGAGACAAGAATATCTGGGAGCCCATGGGGGGCAAAGATGCCCCTCAACACTTGGATGGTCCTGGCAGTCATCGTAGTGGACACTGGAATGACCTCTAGCCATTTAGAGTGACTGTCCACAACAATGAGGAAGAATTGCCCCTGAAAGGGGCCAGCGTAATCTATATGAACCCTCGACCAAGGAGCATGTGTTTCCTCCCACCTGTGTACAGGAGCCTGTGGCATTTCAGGCCTTGACTGTTGGCAAACATAGCAACCCTGGACCTGGGTCTCAATCTCCTTATCAAGCACCAGCCACCAGAGATAGCTGCGTGCAAGTGCCTTCATCTGGACTATGCCCAGATGTCCCTCATGCAGAGACTGCAAAACTCTAGTCCTCAATGTGGTTGGGATCACTACCCTGCTACCCCATAGGACGCAACCCTTAAAGGTGGATAGCTCATGCTTCCTTTTCCAGAAACTCTGAAAATTAGTGCCAGGACACATGTCAGGGCATCCTGACAACACCCATGTCAATACACGTGTTAGCATGTGATCATTGGCTGTTTCTGCAGCCACATCCCTTGCATTGAGGGGAGACTCAGGCAAATCCTGGATAGCTAATATGTGGTTAGCTGGAGCAGGATCTGATTCTACAAGCTGTAAAGGCAACCTGCTAAGGCCATCTGCATGACCCATTTCTTTGCCAGGTTTGTGAACCAATGAGTAGTCATATGCAGAAAAGAAAATTGACCATCTCAACTTTCTAGAAGAGATTTTGTGTGGGGTTTGCTTGTTTGTTGTAAACAACGCCAGCAGTGGCTTATGGTCTGTAAAGACCGTGAAGTGGCGACCATGCAAAAAGTCGTGGAACTTTTTTATGCCAGCCACTATGGCCAAAGCTTCTCTGTTTATCTGTGCGTAATTACGCTCAGCAGATGGCAGGGTCCTAGAATAGTAGGCTACAGGGACTTGTGTCCACTTGACCTCTGCAAAACAACTTTCGTGGACTTGTGTCCACTTCCATGGAGCCTGTTTGTCCAAGAGCCAGTGTAGTGCTCTGCCACTGCAGCCTTGTGAGGTAGGAAGGAGTGATAGAAATTTAAAGCCCAAGTAAGGCTTGAAGCTCGCTCTTCGAAACCCCAGGAATTCAGTGGAAGTGATTCCAATTTTGCATTTGTCTTGCCTAAGCTTCAGACTGAAGCAAAATGGACTGAAGCCTCTCAGCCAAATTTTCGGGTGATTCCCCTGAGATGAGGACATCATCGAAGTAAGGGCAAACTCCCGGAATGTTACGGAGCGTTCGCTCCATAACACTTTGGAAAATGCCAGGGGCTACGTTAACCCCAAACTGCAGTCTTCTGACTTTGAAAGCTCCCCGGTGCGTTTCGATCATCTGGGCCTCAGCCGTTGCCTCATCAACCGGTAGCTGTTGATAGGCCTGAGCCAAATCAAGTTTGGCGAAGACTCGGCCTCCCTTCAGCGAGGCCAAAATGTGGCTCACCACAGGCACCGGATAAGAGTGCTGCTGTAATGCTTTGTTTAACATGCATTTATAGTCAGCACAAATGCGGACTTCCCCATTGGCCTTCAGTGGTGTAACTATGGGGGTTTCCCATGGACTGCTATCCATAGGTTCCAAAATACCTAGCTGGAGCAGTTTGTCCAGCTCGGCATTAATCTTTTGCTTCAATGTGAAAGGCACCCGATGAGGCTTAATTCTAATTGGGGCAATGGATGGGTCCAATCACAAGGCAATTGGAGGCCCCTTGTATGACCCTAGTTCTGGGCTAAACACATCAGCAAACTCCTTGCAAACTTCTGCAAGGCCTGCTGTTTGCAAGCTGTGTAGCCCAGTCACTTGAATCCCAAGTGCCTCGAACCAATCGAGTCCAATTAGACTCATGCGGTTGCCCTCTACCACAACAACATCCAGAAACCCTTCAAAATTCCGACGCTGCACTTGAGCGTGGCCTCCCCTTTAACCCTGACTTGGGAATTCTGAAAGTCTGTTAAGACCAGATTCGACGGCCTGAGTTTAACTCGCTGGCTGCTTCTATAGCGGATTTGCTTATGGATGTCCTGGGATATGATTGACAGAGCTGAACCCATGTCCAGCTACATCGTTAAGGGGACCCCCTGCAATTTGACATCAATGAGCAGCTTTTTCTTCAATGGTTGGTGGGCCCCAGTTCTCAAAACACTCCTATGGAACGTGTAGAAACCCACCCTATTTGGCTGGGGACCCTGATACCTTTCTGAGGCAATTCTTCCAAAGGATGGTCTTTCGTGCGACCCAAACAGATGTGTGGCCTTGCTGGCCACATGCCCGGCAAATGGCAGAGCAGAATGGGCAATCGGAGTGTTTGTGGCGGCCTCCACATCCGAAACACCAAGGGAATTGAACTGCCTTGTCAGCTCGCTTGTCAGCTTGCTCTTGGGGCCTTCTCTCCACTGGCTGCTGTAGACAGTCAACCTCATTTTTGGAATCAGGATCAGCTACCTCTCGAGCAACCTCTTGATGGACGGAGCCTGAACTCATAGGATGCTTGGAAAGCCGCAAGGCCTTGACTGCACCTCCCGCTGCTTCGTCAGCGATGATCTCCCTTAGTGCATCCTGGAAGGAAACATCTTCCTTTGCAAAGATCTTTTGCTGCAGCTCACGGCTCCTCAAGCCACAAACTAGATGATCTTGAAGTCTTTCCTCCAGGTCTTTAAACTCACAGGGCTAGCAGCTTGTTGCAGCGCAGCAATAAAGTCTGCAGCAGACTCTCCTGGCCATTAGTCCCGCTGTTCAAATGCGTGATGCCAGGCAATCACCAATAGGTTCAGTTCAAAATGTTCCCTTAACATTTTCTTCAACTCAATATAAACGATGGATTCCAGAGGTGTTGGGGCAACCAGATTTTCGGCAATATCAAATGTCTCTTGCCCACAAACACACAGTAACATTGCAGCTTTGAGCCTGTCTTCCCGAACTTGGTTTACTCAGAAGTAGTTTTCTACTCTGGCCACGTATGAGCTCCAACATTCAGGGTGAGCTGTATCAAATTCAGACAAACGCCCTATCTTTGACATCGTTACTTCTTGGCGGCCTCGTCAATGCCTCGTGCTGCTCCGGCTTGCGAAGGAATTCCAGGACAAATCTTGCCGAGCTCTCCTCCAGTGTCTTCGTACTGGCAGGCAGAGTCGCACGAGTTTGGAACGCTGCACTTCCAAGCACTTCCAGCCTTCCATGGAGAGTCAGCCTATTTTCTTTTTGTTGTTTTCTTGCAGCACGATCCCACCTTCATCGCCAATGTTCTGTTCTGAGCATTGGTAAGGCATTGAGATGAGACAGGAGTAACAACAGTTGCTTCTTTATTCAATCTTCAACAGAACAACACAAAATGGCACAGATCCCTTTTATACCCCCTTGCAGGGAGCAGCATCAACCAATCAATGCAACGTATCTTTCCCGCCTTGCGCATGCGCAATAGGATGGAGACAGCCTGTTTGGCCCGGGGAGCCTTGTGGTCTGCCCGGGACTCTCTGCAGCTTCCTGCACCTGCTGTGTCAATCACAGCCCAGGACATAACAAAGATGATCTCTATATTAGAGATTGTAGCAAGTATAGAATATGTAAGCATACTTGGGAGTAAAAGTGGGCTTTGATTATGCTTGTGGAGTGGAACTGACAGATCCATACAGGGAAGTTAAAATGTAGGCTTAGCTATCAATGAAAGAGCTAAATGTGTGTCAGAAGCTATGAATTGATGCATGAAAGTAGGAGCCATAGATTGGTGATAATTACAGTACATGTTGCATTTCACTGAATGATGATAAAAGAAAACTTGATATGACTTTTGGAAAACATGATGAGACACTTTGAATCTGCATAACCTGGATGATTTTATGTATTGGGGTTCACGGCATTGAAGCACACACAAGTTGTTAACTAAGTTCTTCTTTATTCGTTCCACATTACCACTCAATAACCTAACAGGCTCACAGGCCTTTTATAGTTTTCCCAGCATCCAATCATAAATCCCCTTTATTCGCACCTTGCACCTGTGCGCAAGACCAGCACCAACCAGTCTGGTCCCGGGCAGCTTTTAGGTTGCTCGCGACTATTTGCAACATTTCTGGGCCTGCTGAGTTTCCTCAGCAGGTCCAGGACACAACACCCTTCCCCCCTAGATGAAACACACAACTATACACATAATTATATTTGTTTCCTGACAGGGAAAAGAGAAATTCCTTTGCCCAGCCCTAGGCAGAATACCTTTATAACATAATGAGGTTAACTTAAACAAAATGCACTCCAAAATTATAATTAGTCTATTTACGCTAGACCAAGTGTAGATCCCCATCATCCAGTTATAGACCAGCAAGGTTCCTTTGTGATGACAGAAACCTCAAATAGTCTCCCAGATACTTGTGTGGGGCCTTAGCCCTTTGTGACCTACGCAAGGCCAGGGAGGGTGCCTGGTCTGTCAGCTCACCTGTCCGGCTAGGCAGACCAGGACTTTTACTTAATGGTGCCTGGCCTACTGGCCCATCTGGTGGGCTCAATAGACCAGGACTTTAATGCCCTTGTATGATAGGTGACCTCCGTCGCAGTGGACTGGCTGGATCTTCTGAACTCCATCCAGGTTCCCTTGGAGATGAGGAAATTCCCAAGCCAAATGGTGGAGTGGCGTTTTCCCCTTCCACCATGGACTGCTCTTGGGAACATTGTCCCTCAAGCCTGCGACCAGTCTCGGACGTGACCTGCATTGCAGGCATGCCCCAGTAATTCCAGTCCCCTGTGTATTTGGCCACGGTGCCAGAGTCAGGAGCTGCCTCTATGGCAAACCCCCTCTCAGGAGAATTCCTGTTCGGAGCACTTGCGGATGTGCAGGCCACCCCCCAGGGTGACTCCCTGTTCGGAGTAATAGCAGAACCTTGAGGATGCCCTTGCTCCTCCACTGAGTCATTAACAGCAACCTGCGGAAATCCCCAGGCACTGTAAGACTGATTCTCAGGATTTTGACCTGAAGTGTGAGCATGTTCCTGGTCCCCCTCCCCCCTGAGAGCAGAGCCAGGAGCAGAAACGTCGGAGGACAACCCCCAGCGCAGTTGGTCAATATGTCGCCAAAGGATGCGGCCATCTCCCAAGGTCACTTCGTATGATAGCGGCCCCGAGATCTTGCAGGCAACAGCAGTGACCCAGAGATGTCCAGGACCATAGCTCCTTGCCCAGACCAGATTGCCAACCTGAAGTCTCCGAGGTGCCGGCGGCTGTGGCACCTGTGAAGGCACCTGGTCTGGGTGCAGTCTGTCCAACTTCGTGATGAGGCAGTGGCCCCAGCGGAGTTCAACTGGGCTCTTCCCGGTTGCAGTGCAAGGTGTGGTGCGGTGTGCAAGAAGAAAGTCTGCTAACCTGTGATGCCAACTACCATGCATGATTCTTTTGAGTGCATCTTTGGTGGTGCGTACCATCTGTTCGGCTTGCCCATTGGTGGAAGGGTGGAAAGGAGCTGATGTTGCATGCTGGATCAAGTGGGCCTGTAGGAAAGCCTGGAACTCAAAATAAGTAAATTGGGGGCCATTGTCAGAGACGAGGACATCAGGAAACC